GCTATAAATAAAATGTGTTGAAAAAATATTCAGCAACAGGTTGAGCAAAAAGGTGTCAAATTTCTCCATTACCTCAACTATTTCACATCAGGATTTATGGCTGCGCTACACTGGGCAATATGCACCAGACAACAATAATAACAGATTTGTTGCATCAAAGGAAAACCTTCCTCAGCTGCCCCTGGGTGAAAAACAAAATGCTTCCATAATCCCAATAAAGATCACCCAGAAGAAAATGACCCTACTGGCCTCTTTCAGCGGTCTACAATTTTGAATGTTCACCCTGATGAGCTTAAAATCTGCAGGGAAAAGAGCTGTTTGGATGCCGTCCAGCTGTTAAATGTCCAGAGTTTTTTTCTGCTCTGACCTAATTGTGTTTCTGCTCCACTGAGGATGACATACCACAAAAGCTGAAACAAGGTTAAGACAAAAGCAACCATAAAATAGTATTATGATCACAACATGACCCCAAAACACAGACAAATCACAAAGCCATGTTTTGTGCTGAAGCAACACCCTTTCCAAACAGCTACTGTACATACCAGTACATATTTAAAGGGAGTGAAAGACGATTGATAAATCATCAGATTTCTCTGTGTATCCATTAGAAATTCCTGCACCACTTCAGTTCTGCTAAAGTAGAACTTTGGGTCTATTTTTTAAGAGCTCACTGCACACAGTGCCCCTTTGTAAAAAAGAAACCATTCGTTATTTAAGGACATTTTATTTTCACCACGTTCTAATTTCTGAACTAATCTTTGAATTCACACTTTACATCTATGGGAATTATTTTTTGCTCAGGCTTACTGAACAATTTGACTGTTCTACTTCCAGTACATCTTAAGAGCATTAAAACATTACTTTGATATCATGTAAATTTAGAAAATGTATTTCACACTGCATGAAATTTCCCTGCTTTTCATTTCCACAAATTGCTCTTTTTGATCAAATGCTGAGCAGACTTTGCTGTATAAGGTACCTGATGCAGAACATTTCCCATTGCTTTGACTGGGTGACACAGTGGAATGAGCACCAACAAGTTTGTAGGTTGATACTCGCATGTAGGTTGATTTTACAAATAAAGTGTAGGTTAAAATTAAACACAATACAGTGCCTTGCGAAAGTATTCGGCCCCCTTGAACTTTTCAACCTTTTGCCACATTTCAGGCTTCAAACATAAAGATATAAATTTTTTATTTTATGTG